GATTAGTAAATGTATTCATGTCATTAATCAAAAGTGATACCATGACAATGAGTGAGTCTGCCTCTCCTGCTTCCTCTTTTGCACACACTTGCTTGCCCTTTCACCTTCCACCGTGTTATGATGTAGCATGTAAGCCCTCATCAGATGCCATTTCTATGCTCTTGGTCATCTTAACCTACAAAGCTGTGAGCTAAGTGAACTTCTTTTCTTTATAAACTCTCTGGTCTCTTGTATCCTGTCAGAGCAAAAGAAAATAAATTAAGACTCTTGGGAATGGTTATGTGTACTCTGCAGGATTTTTGTGAGAAACAAATGATATTATACCTTTGGAAACTGGCCAATACATTAACCAACACAGAATAGGTCTACAAAAAAATCAGAATTATTAGTTTAAAATCAGTCTGTAGGTAACCAGATCCATTTTGTTAATAATTTAACATGTTTTTTAAAAACCTTCATTGCCATTTTATAGCAAATCAATAATAACGACTTGGATCAAGGAAATAATGTAGCAGAAAGACACTCCTCATATGATATGAATAATGTGCCATATTAATATATGCACATTCTTTAAGAAAAATGTTCAATCTCAGACTACTTTAATATTGTTCCAATGGTATTAATTTTTCAAGTTTTCTACAGAAATAACCTTATAATTAACATATGGATTTAGAAAAGTAATTCTATTTTAAGCTGCTGGATCTGCTTCTTGACAATAAAGAACAGAGTCATTCTTGGGTCAATGTTTTAATATGGTCTTGCATAGTGTAAAAATAATCAGGGAGGACATAATGCATACTATCAGGGAAGATCTAATTATTGAAATGTTTTATTCATTAGTAATATACCTTTGACAAAACCTAATAATGCTTGGTAAAGTGACATGTGAAAAAGAAAACATACAATTACTAAGAAGTATTCACTTCATTTTTTTGATCTGACTTGATACAAAAAATTTCATTATTTGGAGTTAATGAACCTGGCTTTTAGACCATACTCCATGACTTATTAGATAATGGATTTGGGTAGAACATGTAACCTCCTCCAGCTTTAGTTTCCTCCTTTTGAAAATTAGAGCCAGTAGCAACTACGAAGACAGCTTTCAGATAATTTTTCCATGAAGGAAATGTGATAAAGGATATAAACACAAGCTACAAATATGAACTATTATGGAAATGTACTATATTATTATTATTATGAAAGGTTTAAACCAGTGGCTTCTTGACACTTTCAGTCTTAGGTTTCACATCATACGAAGTACCTAATTCAGATAATATTAACAATTCCCAGCCAATGGCATATGTTAAGTTTAAGTTTGAAATTGGTAAATACATGTTTTACTTGAATATTGTTTCAATGTATTGTATAAAATATCAATAGTGACTTAGGTACTAAGTCTTTGTAGGATAAACATTGATGACATGCAAATTTGTTACTGAGTGCCATTTCTGTAATTAATTGTAAGCAATCAAGATTAATTAAGTGATATAAGCGCTGCTGATGAAAAAGATAACTTATCATTCCAATAATGCAGAAAACATGTTTGTGCCTGAGTTCTAAGAACAACAGAGAGCTCTAGAGTTTATACTTTCTCACCTTATCCTGTAGTCATTATCTGAGAGCAATGATTCTTTCCCTACTATGGTTTGAATAAGTGTCCTTCAAAGGTCCATGTGCTTGGTCCCCAACCCAGTGATATTGGGAGGTGGTGGAACCTTTAAAAAGTAGAGCCTAGTAGAAGGTCTTCCAAGCAATGTGAAAGTGCCCTTAAAAAGGAATATTGGTGCCCCAGTACCTTCCTCCTCCTTACTTTACTTCCCCACTATTAGGTGAGCAGCTTTGCTCCACTACTTGGTGACTACAATCAATGATGCGCTGCTTTGCCATGGGTTCAAAGGTGATTGGGTCAATTAATCATGCACTGAATGAAACCTTACAGTGAGCTAAAAAAAAAAAAAACCCTTTTCTCTTTATAAGTGGACTATCTTAGATATTTGCTACAGTAACATAAAGATAACTAACACATCCCCATTTATTTGATGAATTTGAAGTTCATGGAAATCAAATGAAAACCAAGAAAGGTATAATTTAGCAATTAAAGAAGTTGATATTAAAATATGGGTATTATAATGTCAAGTCTAGTGCTATTGAAAATAAAGAAGTAAAAAGGGGTTTTGAAGTGTTAGTAGCCATTCAGCTATCTATTCCCCATGGCTTATTGGGTGTTCATTATGCATAAGGCACTATCAGCCCAATGAAGGATCAAGGCTTGGCCCCATTTCCCAAGAAGCCAATGGGTAACATCTAATTTGCATTCTGTAAATGTAAGGGCTATGAAAAAATGCTCAGGAAAAAGTGCTATGAGAGTTAGTTAATTCAACAATTTAAATCATTTTAACAATATTTTGGTGCAACAATCCCATATTATAATTGGTCATCCTCAGGAATACCATTTTTCTTCCCTCTAATAGGTTGAATTGAGTTCAGTTTTATAAAAATGTCATCATGAAGGTCAACTAGGAGTTCCATGTTACTGCCATAAACAATAATCTCCATCAGGAATCCAAGATAGAAAAAAAAGAATTGTGCATAAGAACGCACCCATATTTATTTGAACTTGTTAATTCCACTTTAACAATGTCTGACACACTGTAGTAAGTAGGTTAAGAATGAAAAAGTAAAAATTTATGCCTTATCTGCTATTTGAACCATAATAAACATTATCCATGCAATTATTATATAGCTCAGTTCAAAAGTTTGCTGTAACACAAATACTACCTTTGTACTCTTCAAAAAATGAAGAAGGTAGCAACTATCACAGTGTCTTTTTTTATATAGGAGTATGATTTTAAAAATCCATTCAATTTGAAAACTTTGTTTGATAAGGAACCATTTGTTTAAATTCTTCTACAGTAGAACATTTCATTATTATTCTTAATTATATATCTCTTACATTAAGGTTTGGATTTATCATATTACCTATAGTATTATCTCATAGTGCAGAAGACAGAAATATTCTTTGCAGAAGGGCAATCAAGTTTTTCTAACATCAGTATTATAAATACAATATAATTATTTGTAGTTAAGTTGTGTATTTATATTTTGAAAAGCAAAGGAAAAGCTGTGAAGAGTAAAAACCTGGAGGAAGCCAATGAATTGTTAAATAAATTCTAAGCATATAAAATGGAAGATACAACAAGATTGAATGTAGAATGTTTACAGCCTTTTAAGCCTGGTTCAAATCCTTGTTTGGAAGTGTCATTTCTGCTTTAGCTTCAGACCCCTTACTGAAAAAATGGGGTCAATAACATTTATATTTAAGAATAGCTCTGAGATTTGCATACAATCTACAGGTTGGTGGCACACAATACAATTCAGCTTCTGAGAAAACCAATCTAGCATAACAAAAAAGTGTGTGAAGTGAACAGGTGTGCTTAGTTCCTCCATTCCCATACTGACTATTCGCAGGGTTTTATTTCAACTAATGTTTCTACAATATCTTTTTATTTTTGGTGGGGGGGGACGCTGGGGATTGAACCCAAGGCCTGCCACTAAGTGCTGCCCCCAACAAATACCATATTTCAATATGGGGCTCTGAAAAGATATGAGACAATCATTGTCCTCAAAAAGTTTGTCAGATTCTGACATTGAATTTCTTTCTTTGAAACCATCATTCAAGCAGGACAGTTCCTGCGAACAATTCTGCAAAGGGCTAGAAGAGAGTTCAGTTTGCCCTCTGCATCTCCCTTCAAAATCCCTGGAATGCTGTTCAAATTTACATCCACTACACAAGTTTTTAAACGGACCTGGCAAATCCTTAACACTAGTTATGATTTAGCTTTTCCATAAAAGGCAAATAAAAATGCTTTGAAATGCTACTCCAAAGGTAACAAAAGATAGATTAAGATTTAATTTTTAACATGGTCACTTTAATCATATTGTTTGGGTTCAGGAGAGAAAGCATACATAAAAACCCTTGGGAGAGTAAATTCTAGAAACCAAGAAAAGAAACTCTGTGGCAGTCATGCAACGCACACCTAACAGGGTCAAAGCATAGGCGCAGCGTTTTTTTGCGGGCGCTGGATTTCTGTCCCAGGATCAAGTGGGGACGGCCTCTGGTAGCTTTGTTCAAAGTGGACCCTGCAGGCCAGGGCAGAGTGGGTCCAGCAAGCCTTCCCGCTGAGAACTGCACCAGGATGGGATCTGCATGTCTACAGCTTCAAATGAAAGTACAAAGCAAGGTTCAAGAAAAAAACCTCTCCTCTTGGCCATTTTCTAGGGGGTGCTAGTCACCCTCTGCTCTGAGTCCCCCAAGTCGGGACAAACGGGTTCCCGAGGCGGGAAGTTAGTGAACTTTTAGCTTGGGAAAATGGGAAGCTGGAGCAGGTGGGGCGGTGTGAGGGGGCATGTTGGATGGGGGCGGGAAAGGGCGGAGGTGGTTTCCTGAGTGTCTCCCTCAGGAACCATCCCTGCGCTCCTAGAGCAGGAGGGAGGAGGTGCTCAGACAGCGCTCACTTCTCCACTTGCTTGGTGGCTTTCCAGTAAAAATGGGCGAGCGAGAAGCGCTGGGCTTGGAGAAAGGCAGGTAGCTGGGGGAGCCAGCCGCCCAACCTGGGCGCAGTGGCAGGGGCGGCGGCTGCACGCTCAGCCTCTGCCCCCGGCAGGCAGCAGCGACTCTTCACTGCACCA